CCCCCCCATCACCACAGGGGCCTTGATCTGCCCCCACATGGTCCTTTCCCCTCCCCCTTCCACCACACCAGACTTACCAGCTGCATGCAGCACTCCATGCTACCGGCGCTACTCCTTACTGCCTACGTGCTGCAATGTGGCTGCACACATGTACAGGCATTTATTGGACAAATAATTGGCTGCATTGGGCCAATTTCCAATACAGAAAATTTTCTTTATATTGATGCTGATCCAATATCAGACTCATGTATTGGTGCACCTCTACTGGTATAGGTCCTTTCCAGCCAGATTTTATGATTCCGTAAGTCCTATTGACTTTGTATTCCGTACTTTTGAAAATCAGGTTCTTTATTTGGGCTTCTGGTTATTAATTTAGAACCTTAGGACACATGTTTTTATCAACTTGCCCTAGTTTTGAGTTAAGACTGAAAATTCTGGAAGTAGCTGGGTATGATTATTTTTATTAAAAGGATAATTTCCTTTATCCTTGAGATGTATTTCTAAGAGAAGGAAGATTTGAATAATAAAAAGAAAAACAGTGGCCTGACATTGTTCAGTGTATGGAACCCTCTTGGAAATTAAAGATAATTTTGCATACAAGTTGATGACATCTTAATATGATTTTAGTTAAGAATTAATTTGAAATTAGTTCTTCGTGGGTGCATCTACATATGCATTAATGTGCTTTTCCTAATGGGCATTAAATGTAGTAGCTCCAATATGAGGTACTAAATAAATTCCCATTAGCCTGTGCTAATGTGTAGTCGTGTAAGTGCACACTTTTTAGGTGATGCTTACTGTGCAGTAACCTATTTTACTGAGCATTAGCATATTAGCATGGGTTTTTATGCACCACTTTAATGTGCAGCAGAATAGGTTACTGTATATTAAAGCACACGTGTAGATGTGCCCACTACCAATAGATCAGAGTCTGGTAGAGTAAATTTAGTGTGGCATACTAAAAGGAATTAAAAACCTTTTCTTACCTTTTTATGACTCTTTTGGTCCAAGCAGTTACGGAGAGTTGTTGAAGCTTAATGAGAGTGCTTGTGCTTCGTTCTATAACTGCCTGATAACAGCCATTTACATTTTTCAGCATACTATTATTTTTCCACTCAGGGTTTTTTTTGAGTCTTCATGCAATGAAAGTCATGTCAAGCTGCTTCAAGTGAGATAAAAACAAATACACTTAAGATAACTGAAACTTTTCACAATACACACCTGATATGTTAAATTATGGCTACTAGCCACAGCCTGCAGCTGAGAGGATCTGACCGTGTCAGCTGCTCCCAGAGACATTATGGCTAGTAGCAGAACTGGAGGTAAGGGGAAGCAAGAGAGGCATCCGGTGCAGTTGACTTAGAGGGGATGCCAGAATGTACCCCCTGCAGTCTTTGCTATAAGTAGGCACAGCCCCGTGCTGTCCGGCCATAGTAGCAAGCCAGGCATGGTCCCTTACTCAATAGTCTTTCTGGAGAACAAGAGGGTGAATGGGGCAGTGGAATGGCACATGTGGGAGTCTTTCCCATGGCAGGTGCAGTCCTGTGCTCAGTAATGTATCGTTGGGTAGTGGGGAGGGGAGTGAGTAGGGCACTAAGGGCAGCTCTCAGGGAGCCTGCACCATGGGGTTGCTGCACCCAGTGTACAGTGAGCTTGGCCCCCAACAGCAGCAGTTCAAGCCCACACTGCTACTGCAGAGGCTGCAGTTGTAGCAGCTGTAACCTGAAGGCAGAGCCAGGGAAGGTAAGACTCTGTTGCCACTTCCCCCCACTCCAACCGCTCCCGTTCTTCAGTGGTCAACATAATCCATCCACTCCCTCCATAACCCCCCCCAGCCCGCACAGGCACTGTGAAAGTGGTTACGGCAGAAGCAAGGGTAAACAAATTAGCTGGCTACAAGTTTATTTGTAAAATAAATTAACTTGTTTTTTAAATACCTGATACCAGGTCTTCAAGCTCTGAAGAGCAAAAGTCATATCTATGTGAAGGGCAGTGCAGGTTGTATACACGAACACTCTCATACTGGATGAAATTAAGTGGTCTGTGCAATGCCCTACATGGAAGGGAATACATGATACCTGTGCTTCATTTCCTAATATAAGAAGGCATTAGCCTTACCCAGGGAGGACAGGAAAGCTGAGTGTCTTGCTTGGAAAATTTGTAGAGAAGAAGAGATCGTATTGCTAAAACAATTAAAAATTTTAATAGAAGCATCAGAAAACTGAAATATGTATGATTAAGCTGGTTTTGCCCACCTTAAGGAAAAGTCAAAGCAACCAATGCCTTAACTTGGCCAAGGAATTTGCTCTGTATCAACTCCAAACATCTTCAGATATTCAGAAACATGTGACATTCGTATCAACTGGAAATATGCTGCCTTTGTAAGCAAAATAAATCTTGATGCATCAGCTGGAACAGAAGTAGCCACAGTGCAGCAAGTGTGTCTAGCCACTTATACCTTAAAGTCAATGAGATCCTTTCTGTCAATTTTGATATGTACAATTTGAAAGACAATTTTGATTGCACCCCAACAGCAGGCCAATGATTTTCATAATAAGGAGACTAGGAGACACAACTAATTATGTTGCATATTTACCAGCTCACATTCTTTTATCATGGGAGCTACAGCTGTTACATGAATTCAAGTAGAGGCTAGTTGCATTATATTTCATTTTAAAAAAATCACATAGAGCTCTTGATTTCTAATCAAACTACTAAGTCAAGCCTGCTTTCCAGGAGTTACAGCAAAGGTTCTCAAATACTCTTTTTAAAAGTTTGTTACACTTCTACATGCCCCTATGATTCTGTTGTGTCTAATTAAAAAGTAACAGTTCATCACTGCAACCAAACTGTAAACTCTCTAACATCCTAAGAATTACTGCAGAACTATTCTTTGTGTTTATTTTCTTCTGCTTTTCCTCCATTTATATTTTCCCCTTTCCCTTCTTCTGCTTTCCTATTTTTTCTAGAAGTGTGCACCATAACCCAAATTTCACAAACGGTGATTTCAACACAGTATTGTAAATTAGATGTGGGTCTAATGAAAAATTTCAGCTCTGAACACCCAGGAACCCTGGGGTGGTTTGGATTCAGATGCAAAATCAGACGGTTTATTGAACCAGGACCCCTAGATCTGAATACCCTTGGTAGCAATGCCTAAAGAGATGGTCACAGTTTACGATCTGTTTGCTGAAAGACTATTCACTCTCATTTTTTGCCATGTGAATAACCACATATCAGTTTCTCATATGTATTAGTTTTAATACAGCTCTTCCTACTGATGAACTAGTAGGCTTTGGCACTTCACACAAGAGAGCCAGGTCCTGCAGTCCTTTCTCAAGTAAAACCTGAAGATAGTCCTGCCAGAATAAGGACTTGTAAGACCCTTCCCGTGTTTGATAATAACACATGCAAGAGGCACTTATTTAAAACAGACTTTTTTTATAATGACTCTAAAATTATCTTGTTTTTAAAACTACATACCATGTTAACTATAAACTGAAGTTGCTTTATGATCTTAAGAATTAACATTTTATTTAACAATTAGCTGGAAAGACAATATTAAATCTATTTGACATTTCCCAGAGCAGAGAGTCAGTTCACACAGATTTCCTCCACGTGACCAGTAGGTCACTGTGTTAATTATTCACAAGTAGATCACAACCACTTTAATATGATTCCCATGTTGTCTTTTAAAAACCTTGGAAGGTTTGCCAAACATGGGTACTCAAGAGGAATCAAGTGATGATTTCTCATACTGGGAGGGTTACATGTTGCTGTTGGAAGCCTGCAGGTTTTTTGAATAATAAAAGCATTAGTAAGAATGGGCAGAAATTGAATGAAGCAATAAAGCTGATATTGAATTCTTTATTAATCATTAATAGCTATTACTATCTCTGGGTTGAAGGTAGCAACATGTTTTTCTATACAAGTTCTCTGTTGTTATACAAAAAATGTGATTAGCCATGACTGGTTTCCAAGTGATCTATAACAGGCAGAAAACTCATTATTTCAACCATGAAAGCATGAGTTTTTATTTCTATTAGATTTCACCCTGGTAGCTACCAGTGATCTGGTATTATGAGTTTTTTTCATACATCTACTGGTATACTTTAAGCTGTGGTGGACTTCAGGATGTAAAATGTGCTCACCATCACTAATCACCTCAGTAAAGCTTTGCTTGATTTTAAACATGATAGAAAAACCCATTTGAAATGTTCTTAGTTTTAATTACTGGTGTATCAGTTTCTCAGACACCTGTTACTGGGAATTTTAGTATTTTTGTTTAGTGTGAAAATATAATAACCAAATAATAAAATGACATAACTGAAACCCCAGACACATACAGAAGGGAAGGGAGAGGGAGAAACACGGAAGACATTGATTATAAAGGATCACAGCATAGGATGAGTCAACTAGAATCCAGTGACACTGAAGCAGGAAATGCCATCTTGGGATTGCCTTTGTATTGCCATTGGTGGAAATTGTTCACCCACCAATAATATATCATTTCAAAGGGAAATACAGATTGCAAGAGAGCTTTCTGCCTTCTTATTGCTACTTCAGACATTTTTAGCAAATAATATTCAGATGTTACAGTCACACAAATCCCAGAGGGTGCTTTCCTGCCTATTCAAGTACTTATTTGGTTATATAGCCATGCACAGCTGCCTGTGAGAAGACTAGTTTGGAAAAGATTTTGATTCCAGACACCAGTGAGAATACGATACTCTACAGGTCTACTTACATCTTAAAAAGCCTTCTGCTGAGATGAGAGAGCAAGAAACTTTTTTTCCAGTTTTGTAATTGTTTATATATCAATCCATCCCTACAGCATTGTTCCTATTACTGCGAGACACCAAATTGAAGGGGTGTCTCTCCATTTTCCATGCCCCCAATTTTAATATATATAGTTCAATTAATTCTGGGATCATCTAATCGAAAACTAAACCTTCCATTAATTGGCATTATTGTTGTTATAATTGCAACAATTGTGTGCTAAGGACTTGGCAGATGTGTAGGAAGACAATTTCCTGCCCTAATAGGATCCCAGGTTAAACCAAACAAAATACAAATAAAAGGAGCTGGAATAAAATATGAGAAGGGACTTTCTGGGTCATTAAGCTAAGGCAAACATATCATCAATTTCCTTTAGTAGATGAAAATAAATTCTTTTTTAATCTGTTTAGTTTTTTGCCCTTATTACTGCAATTGAAAGTCTCACTCCTCTGATGATTAGAAATCTAATTTTCAGCCTAAATATATTCATGATAAAATTATATATATTTGTTTTTTCCACCATTTTCATTAAGCTTAAATAGTTCTTTCCTTAAATGTCTCTTTTTCCACTCTAATGTTTATTCTTATGATGATGTTTTCATAAAGAAGCGTTATATCCCTTTGCAGGCTCCCTTTTGCTAGACTCAACAATTCAAGCTCTGTCCTCTCATAAGGACCAGACATATTCCACATAAGGTCGCCCCACTGCCACATATACTAGCACTGATACTTCCCTATCCTTCCTGGAAATCTGGTGCTCGATATATCCTAGAATCATATTTGGTATTTTCATAGCCACACCGCACTAGTGACAGTGATAGTAAGCCTCTGACTGACAGCAGTGGTTGCCAACCTTTTGCCACCACTTGTGACCCAGCCCAGCCCCACACTCCCCAGCATCAGCAGATGCCATGATGGGACTAAATATAAAAAAAAAGGCAACAGGATGCCCCCTTTGCTGCTGTGGCTGGAGTGTGCTACCATTCCCTGAGTTGCTGCAGGCTGGAACCAGTCTCTTCATAGGCTGGGCCCGTGGGCTGTAGGTTGACAACCCCTGACTTCAGGGTGTTTTTCTTTATCTGTTGTTTCCAGCTGCTGAGCTTCCACTTTATTGTTGTTGTCCCTAAGTACATGACCTTGCACTTTGCACCATTAAATGTCATCTCCTTTCTATTGCTCAGAACTCAAGGTTATTCTGTACATTATATATTTTATCTTCTTCTACCCAGGTGATACCTCCCAACTTTGTGAAGTCAGCCAATTTCATTTACCTTCTCCTACTTTTTTTTGTCGAGCTCATGTATGAAAATATTAAACAAGAATTGTCCTAAGATCAATGCTTGAGAAACTCCCTTAATGTCTGCCCAGGTTGACAGTTTCCCTTTCATCACAACCCACTGTCATACCTCTTTAGCTCCTACTTTACTTTACAGTTCTTGTAGAACACTGCATCTTTTCCAACAGAACTAATAATTTCCTATGAGGCATCATGGGTAATTTATCAAAAAGCTCAACTGAAATCCAAGTAGATTAGATCTGCTGCATTTCTACTGTTTAGAAACTCAGTTCTATATCAAAACAGATCAAGGCTGACCTGGCACAATCTAGTTTTGGGTTCACTCAGATTGAATTTACCCCACATTCTATTTACCTCCACATTTTAAAATGTTTCTTTCTTTCAATTTTTTTTTTTAAAGACTAGCTATTGGGAGCAGGTTGGACAGCCTGTAGTCACCTGGGTCATTTTCTCCTCATTCTTAAACATTTGTTACTGAGTTTGAGACAGTTCCATTGTGTCAGATAATAAATGCCATGCTTTCATGATAACCATCTGTTCTACAGTGGGATGGCTGAAAATACAGAGTTTCTTGTTACAGCTGCAAGCTTGTGCACAGTATAGATGTATATGAAATAATATATAAGTAAATGATTTAATATTTGTTAATTATAATTTTCCTGTATATATTTTATATTTAAGAGAAAGAGTTAAGAGTTAATTCTTTTTAAGTTAGTGAAAGAAAACTAAGCAGGGGTCACCATTTTCTGAGACAAGTTAGCCTTATTCCCAAAAAGGATTCAGTTGCAAGAGGCAACTTTGTAGATTAACCTACAAATTAATAAAAAAAACATTGGTTTTGTTTTACAGTGGGATTATGAGACCAGGACTGAATGCAATTCTGGGACCCACAGGCAGTGGCAAATCTTCGTAAGTGCTGAAGCAACAAGAGGACCTGTTACTTAGCCATGTTCTCCACATACAGAAATCATTCCAAACAGAAAATAATATGCATTCAGCATTGATGATTATGACTCAGAGAGCAAGATTGTGACCTCAGTTCAATTTGCATAAATTTAGATTAGTTTTATTGATTATAATGCAGAATTTGACTCAAAAAGACATTGTTTTTTTAAAAAGAGCACAACAGGGGTAACTGATTTCTCTGAAGTAAATAGTTTCCTAATATGCTACCTTTATGAACAGCTTTACAGAAAATCAGGAGAATTATTTGATTGAGAATATGGTTTTCTGTTCTTTGAGGGGCTTTTAAATATGAACGGTAGTTAGCAGCAAAGTTTCAGTATGGAAGAGCTTGTGCTTAGCTCAAGCTTGTGGCCTCTACTCTTACAGACTTGTTAAAATGTACAGCTCAGAGGTCTTAAGATGACTGCTTTTCTTTTTTTAGGTTACTGGATATTCTGGCTGCAAGGAAAGATCCTCATGGACTGTCTGGAGACATTTTGATAAATGGAGCTCCCCAGCCTGTCAACTTTAAATGTATTTCTGGGTATGTGGTACAGGTAAGAAATTTTTAAGTGTCTGTATCTGCCTTGTTTGTTTAGACTTCCATTAGGACAACAATGCATCAAAGCTGGCTAAGACAGTGATTCTCAACAGGGTATCACAGCACCCTAGGGTGCCTTGAGTTTCTTTCAGGGGTGCTGCAGAGTGGCACACAGCAGGAACTGTTAGATGAATCATGTTTGCACACAAGATAAACCCAGAGATTCCAAATAGGAATCCACAGTGTTAGAAAAAAACATTGTGCTCATTCTGAGTTCTTTGCAACAGAAGAATTGCTCTATTATTTTTCTGCAGTCAAAATTCAAGTGAAGACTAAGAGCTGGCATTTTCCAAGGGATGCCTTGAGTCTTAAAAAGGTTGAGAACAACTGGTTTAAGATAATGTACTTGCTGTAGTGTGCTTGTCAAAATTGGTCCTTTATTTCATTTACAGTCCATACTTTTACTTTAAAAAGTAGAAGTTATAAAGTTAATTGCCATGCCTGGGATTAGTTCTGAAGAGTCAGCACACTGGGTGAACCCACCAGATTCTTCCTTGGCCATACAGAAAATGTAAGAAATGCTGTATCCATTGCAATACTGGCTTTACACAGAGAGCTCTCTTTCGTTTGGAGAAGGGCTCCCTCCATAGCACTTTTCCCTGATGAGTATAGGTATCTTTCACCTTATAACCCTTGGAAAAAGTAGCACTACTTGCACCTGTATTAATCCCCTTTGACTGCTTTTCTACAGCTGAAGGGAAATCTACCTACTAGGAAATCTACCTACTAGCGGCATGGTTCCTACTGGGACAGAGTTCCCAAGGATGTCCAGGCTCATAAAGCAGCAGCCATCCACATACATTATTGCAAGCATTTGGAAGAGGTTTCTTTCCCTATGGATTCCTTAGAAATAGAGAAAAATTGGAGATGACACAGCACATGATGCAACACAGCATATTGCCCTTAACTGTTTTCCACTATCAATGATAGCACCAGCAAAACCATATGAGGGGAGTCTCACTAGGGACAGAAATTACACATAAACTGGTATAAGTGATCAGAAACCTGTTCAAATCTGTAACACAACAGAAGTTCAGTGCACATAAACTGCTTTCAAAATGGCTAAAGCCGGTTTAAGATAAACCTGCATGGATGTAGTATAGGACTTAACTGATTTAGGTTAAACCAGTTTATTGAACTTCTGTCCCAGATCCCCTCCAGATCGGAGTTAACTCACAGTCCCCCAGCATCTCAGGATGCTTTGCACCTCCTCTGCAAACCCTGCTTTGCAGGGTGGGTGAGGAGCAGAGCTTGGAGGTGTGCTCTAGCACCTTCCAGCTTCTGGCCAGGTACACTTTAGGCATGTGGCTGCATTTCTGGAATCAAAAGTGAAGTCTGTTCATTTGCTTATAGGTTTAATATATGCATCTTAGATTAACCTGAAGGGACTGAACTGATTCAGCCTTTGGATTTTTGACAGTTTCTACTTGGCCATTGATTTTTGTTTTCTGCCAGTCCCTGTTCTACAGGTGTAAGTGTAGGAGTGAAGGATCTGGCCCTATATTAAAATTAAGTTTGAACTGTGATATGCAACTGCACCTCAGACTTTGAAATTGTGAAAGGAATGTCTTTATACTCTGAATTTATCTTTGATTTGTTGGAATTAAAAAGATATCAGAAAATCCATCTAAATCTACCTCTTCTTTTGGTAGGGATGAAGGTCTGGTTCTTGGGGAAATACCACAGAAACATTTTAGGTGCAATTGAAAAAATGATCCACCTTGCAGCTATTATCACTGTAATTCTCCACTGCAAACTCCTAGCCCCATGCTACTAGCCAGCTGCAACACCCCTCCCCACCTCCAAGGCTCCACCTGCCCCACCAGTCTGAGTTCACCAGCTGCACCTGCTGTGTCTACACTCACTATGCTCAATGTATTTTTGAAAATATAAAGCTTTCTACAAACATGCAGCTAAATGGTTGTTCCCTAGGGGTGATGCCTCCTTACCTAAGAGTGAAAGTGTTTTGCTTCAATGTGAAAATAAGTGAGTAGATTCCTACCCTCCTTCCCTTCCCTCTCCTAAATGCAGCTTACAAAAAGCTAAAGAATAAATCTGAAGAAACCCCTCTCCAGAACATGCTTAGCATATCACCCTCACAAAACAGATGTCCAAGCATTTGGACAAGGAAAAGTCAAAAGAAACCCATTTCCTTTATCAGGGATAAACAACTCCTTTGTAAAAACTCCTCTTTCTCCCTGCTAAGAACAAATCAAGAACCTCCTCTTTACTTCCTCCTTTCATACATAGCAGGTGAGACTGCAAATTAATGAGCTCAGCTGCATCTGCTCTGCAGTTTCCTTTAACCCTTCAGTGCCTGGTTCTATACTGCTCTAAATCTGATAAGGAAAACACAGCTTTGTACTTTGGTGTCCCCCTAGGCAATACAAACTCAACCGTTCAGAGTCCTTGTAGGATTTATACATAATGTAAACTTACATGAAGCATGCAAGTGTACATTTAAGTCACCAATTAAACTACTTGTTTGCACTAAGGGTATTGCTAGATTGGGATCACACTGTGCAAGATTGCTCTAGAGCTACATAACTTTGAACACTCTTCCCTGTGCATGTTCCTTCTGACTATGTACTCAGTACTTTACACAGGGTACGCAAAAATCAAGCAGGATTAAATCCAGAATCACTTTTTTTGGTAATTTTTTACCACAGAAGGCAAGACTAAAAATGATTTTATTTTTATTTCCTTTTGTCTTCCTGTTTTGTTTACACTTTACTGGTCTACAAAAGACTCTTTGACGTCTCCCTTAAGGGAGCAGTACATATTGGTTAGTTAACTGATATTTAAGCAATTTGATACATGTAGAATATTCCTCTATTGCCACAAACTGTACAGACATACAAATGCATGAAGGGAAATATCTGTTGTGATGTTCAGGTTTTGAAGATCCATCCTACAGCATTCTAGCAGTTGCTACGTGCGTACAAATGAACTCTGCATGAAATGTACAACATAAGAAATGAGCGCCAAAATGAACATTAAATATGCAATTTTCTTTATGAAGGATGATGTGGTAATGGGAACCCTGACTGTGAAAGAAAACTTCCAGTTCTCAGCAGCACTTAGGTTACCAAAGTCTGTTCCTGAACAGGAAAAGAAACAACGAATTAACCAGATCATAGAGGAACTTGGTTTGACAAAAGTGGCAGATTCCAAGGTAATGGCACATGAGTTGTTATAATTAAAGCAAATATTAACTTATTTCAGGTAATAAAATGATTTTGGTTTGGCAGGTGTGAATTTTGGTTGAATAGACTATTGTAATAACAGAAGAGTTAGTAAACCTCAACCTGGATGTCTGTTTTCATCTCAGTGAAGATTCAGGTTTTGCATTGCAGCATCTGTGTCTACCATAAAATTATGGAGGACATGAAAAGTCATTCCTGGGGAAAAAAGAAATTATGGAAAAAGTTTATATTATGAATGAAAAGTTTTAAATGACTTTTCTCCTGCATTTTTAGATTTGCATTATTCCATTACATACAGAATGTGAAGTTTCTGTTAAAAGGAATCTTTGAATCATTGGCAAAATCACTGTTAAAAAGCGATCACCCAGTTCTCTTCTAGAACTTTTATGTGCTTTTATAAGTGTTCCATGTTCTTTACTCGAAGTCAGACAAAATGATAATCTCTTGTTTTGCCTTAGGTTGGCACCCAGTTTATTCGTGGAGTGTCAGGGGGAGAGAGGAAAAGGACGAACATTGGAATGGAACTCATTACTGACCCTGCAGTCTTGTTCTTAGATGAGCCAACAACAGGACTGGATGCCAGCACTGCCAATGCTGTCCTCCTTCTCCTGAAAAGGTGATGGTGATAGAATCACTGAGAAAAAAAACAGCTTTCCAGTTTTGCCTTGCAAGTAATAGTATATAATACCTACTGTACCCAGTAAAGGGATTCATCATGCAAGTGACCTCCATGGAAATAGGAATAGGCCCATAATAAATTGTCTCCAGCTTAAGTGGAGTTGCTCACAGGACTATGCAGGGGTAGATCCAGGATAAGACAAAGGAGGGTGCGGGGGTAGCAACCCACACTGTAGGGGTGCCTGCACCCCCCATTCCCAACTTGTCCCCCACCTCTCCCCTGCACCCACTGGTGTGGGCAGACTAGGTAGTGGGGGAGCCCCTGGGAACTTTCTAAAGTCCTAAAACCATGTAAGAGTCCCACCCCACTTTCCCACCCAGGTCAGAGTCATGCCCTCTCACTAATCCTACCCCACCTGGCTCTGATGCTTTCCCTGCTGTTCCCAGAGTGGGAGAGGCTTTAAAGTTGCTTTTGACTGCTCCAGGGGTTTGGGCTCAGTTGAGAATGCAACATGGCAGTGGCAGAAATGATGTGCGGGTGGATGGGTTCTCCCTCCCTGCCCAATTCCCCTGGGAGCAGGTGCAGGCAGGAGAAACTCCTTCCCCCACCCCCTACTGTGGCTACTATTGTTGCTGTCTCTTGTCACAGCTGAGCCCAGTCCCTGCACAGGCTCTAAAACTTTCCCTGCCTCCAAGACAGCATGGAAAGCAGCAGTGGCAGGAGGAAGGGTATGGGAGGAGGGGAAGAGACATGCCTCTGATCATGGAGGGGAGGGGATTCTCCCACAGTGTGGTCCAGTCTAAAAGTCCAAAAAGGGAGTGCAGCTGTGCCACTACACCCCTTCTGGATCTGCCCAGGTATTATGCACCATGCCTTGCAGTAATTCTATAGAGCCTGAGGAGATAGATAAAATTTACTAATATTATGCTTTGAAGGGTCCCTCTTGATGATTGGCATTATTGCTTACATGAGAAATTTGGCTACCTTGATGAAGTGATGGATATTAGTTATGGGGGCAGCTAGCACTGCTAGTGTTTCCCTATAACAAACGACAAAAACATTCATTGGGAAAACAAACAAAATGCCTTGTTAATGCTAGTTTTCTCTGTTTCCTAACATCCTGCATCATTTGCATTTTTTTCAAAGAGGGCTGAAGATGCCTCATTCAAGAGTGCTTGGTAACTCCAAAGAAATGACCATGATCTTTTCTCAAAAGAGATTCAGCACTCATGGCTCTTAGGAATGCCACAGGAATTTGTTTCCGTCCCTACAGAACACTATGCAGCCATTATATTTATAGGCTGGGCACTATGGTGTTCCTTTTTCACCTCGCATTGCATTCTTCAGGATGAATTATACTGAAAGATGGCACTCCTGCCTCTCAGTCTAATAAATAAACAAACACTGTTTTTTTCCACTTTATATCCAGGATGGCAAAGCAGGGGAAAACAATAATTTTTTCCATCCACCAGCCGCGATACTCCATATTCAGACTGTTCGATAACTTGACATTATTGGCCACAGGAAGAATGCTCTACCATGGGCCAGCTCAGGATGCTATTGAATACTTCAAATCTATCGGTGAGCTTTTAATAAGGGATCTTAGTCACAGAGCAAGTGGTGGCTTAAAGGTAGCTCTGTTTTAAAACATGGCTTAATAAAATTAAATGACTCTTGAATCGTAGGTTCATATTTAATACATCTCAGTGTTTTCAGGACAAAAAAATGCATCCCATCTAGAATGTTGAGGTCACACTGGATTATTTCTTTCTTTCTTGCACAGTATTATCAATAACAACAATTCTAACTAAATTCTGTTGATGCATGTACAATGTTAAAGTCTTCAGATTAAATCTTCACTAACACTTCACAGGGGTTGCACAGATATAACTGATGATAGGTGCAAAGGTATACATCCAGCTTGCTTTCTTTTAGCTGTCTCAGTTCTGCTTGACTAACAAACAATATAATGCTCCCCTGGCACCTCACTCCCCATATGAATATTTAATCTAAAAAATATACTGGGACTAGTATGCTGAGCAAGAAGCTACTATATTACTGTCTGTTTTCAGACTGGCATTGCACTTTAACAAATTTTAATACCTATTTTAAAGTTTTGGTACATATTACATGGCAAATTAATAAGTAATCATAGTAATAAAAGTGTTACTTTCAAGTTAAAGTTGAAGCATCTCAGCAATAACCTGATTCTACAGTCATTACAAAATAAAAACTCCCATAATGTCAGTATCCAAACGTCTGTACCAAAATCAAAACTTCCCATAGATATCAGATTGACCCAAAGAGCATAATGTCGGTGTTAGTTTTCTCTGAGGCTCATCTGACTATAACACAAAAACTGAAAGAAATGCCAGTGACTCTGTATCTAAACTGGAAACATAATACCATATAGAGGTTAGTTTGAGATTCTGAAAAATAAAACATTTATTATACCAATATACAAATAGGTATAAGATATTTAGCCAAAAAAAGAATTAGCAAGAGCAGACATGTGGTTAGAATTTAGTAGGACTCATAGATGCTGCTTTTCTTTTTATGGGAACTTGGATAAGGCATGATTGAAATATACACACACACTTAGATTAACTAGCTACTTATGGTGCAAGTTCAGAAAAGCAGGA